ACTTCGATAATTATACGTCAACATACATAAGTTTTATTTCTTAAAACGATATGCATTCGAAGTGTAAAACACTTTTACGGCCATACTAGTTTAACACTAAATGCATTTTATGGAGTAAAGAAACTTAATTTATTTTAGTGCGCACTTCTGACAGCAATTTAAACAGATGAAAATTAAATGTTGTCATTTTATCGAGTGAATTTTGAAGACATGGTTATACAGTTCACGAAGATTATTTATATTATTTATGATACGTAGGAGCTATCCAAACAAGAAATCTAAAGCGATATTCTATGCTATAAATACACATTCTAAACGTAATTTTACTCGTGTAAAGGAAAATACTGCCTTGTATTTTCTTTCCCTTAAATGTTAAATTTGAAATATTAATTAATATATAATATAAGTGTAATTGCGGCACAAGAGAGTCTACCAGCCGATTTCATTCCGTGAATATCGTAGTAACAATACGAAAAATAAATTGATAGCGATATCACCAATATCCTAATGTAAACCAGATTTTGGCACATCCGGCTTGGTTACTTAGACCGGGACCAGAATAAGAATTGAGAAAGAGTGTCGAATTTGGTTCATGGCAAATCTTTCTCATAAGAGAGGCCCGAGCCCAGCAATAGACTGGTTAAAGGATGAAAAGACAGTTTACAATTTCATAATTTACAAAATACAAGTTTTAATAATACTAATCGTTCGTCGTATACTGGTATATATATATAATCATATATATATATATATATATATAGTGTGTATATATATCTGTTCATCGTATAGATATTTACTGTAAAAAAAAACTTCGAAAGCAAAATAATTACGTGAGCAGAGCTATGAAAGCAATGTTACAGCTTCAGGATTGAAAGGTGAATATTATGAATAATATTTGTATGTAGAGTACAGCTGTCATACATCCCTATTTCAGAAGTAAGTTTAACGATCTTCTAATGAAATATAAATATAAATTGGCCAATATTGAAGACTGTTATTATAATTGTTCCTTCGCCAATTATGCTTTGTATTCATAATTTTTTTTTATAAAAGTAAGGTTGACAAATGGAGACATAGTTCAGTCCAATAACTCTACTACATACTACAACTCTACTACATACTACAATTCTACTACATACTACAACTCTACTACATACTACAACTCTACTAATGTAAAGAACCTTGGTCTGTACATCGATGGTTGTTTAACATGGAACAAACATATACAGGTGAGTCGCAAAACTACTGGAACTTTGCGATCTCTATATCGATTTAAAAACTGTCTTCCCACCAATACCTAGATTTTACTTGTACAATCACTTATTGTACCGATTATTGATTATGTCGATGTGTGTTGCTCAGACCTGTCTCAACTTCATCTTAATACATTGGATCGTCTGCTTAACAACTGCATCAGATACATTTATGGTCTTCGTAAATACGACCATGTATCTTCCTTTCGTATACAGCTAAACTGGCCGCCTATCCGTCAGCGCAGATATGTTAGAATACTTATAACCCTTTTCTCAATTTTGAACGATCCATGTGCTCTAGGTATTGAAATCTAAATTTCAATACCTGGGAGATTCTCATAATTTTTCTCTCTGTTCCTCGGCCAATCTTAAGTTGCTCACTCCTTTACACCGAACTGGTCATTTATCTCCTCTTTCGCCCTTATGGCCATCAGACTCTGGAACGACATCCCTCTTGACATTAAAAAAGCTATATATATATATATATATATATATATATATATATATATATATATATATATATATATAAAATATATATATATATATATATATATATATATATATTTTATCCTCTCTATTTAATTATTGCTACACCGCCTCCGTTTAGCGTAGCGTAGTGTCTATCTCTGTTTAGCCTAATGGTTGACTGGGAGAGAATGCCCTATAACATTAAGTCCGCCATATGTACTACTTTGTGCATGAAAGCATAAATAAATAAATAGTGTATGTAAATGACACCTACATCCTTAGTCCCCTACATCTACCTTTCAAATCAAATGTTAATTACGGTATTGTAGATAATGAATGTTATTTGTTAGCCCGGTACGAACTGTAAATCCTAATTATGATAACTCAGTGACAATGATTGGGGGAACGCCAACAATAGACTCGGCTTTGAATAAGAATTTTATATACGAAACACGGGTTTATGTTCTTGTCCAAAAATAACTACCGATGTAGTGCAATCCCTCTATTCTATCTTTAACGTTACCCAAACATCTGATCACGAAAATGTGTTTTAAAAACAAAATTTTTAATTAATATTCTTTTAAACGTAACTTACCTTGGTAAATTACAAAGTAACAGCCTACGTAAGTCAGTAATAACTGGGCACAGGACCGCATTCACTTTTCAGAGCCCGCCGCGCTGTTCCAATTTTCAAAAATTTTTCGTGTTCTTGAAAATTATTTCTCATAATGTTGTTTAGCTTACGATTTTTTGCCTAACCGTTGTGTGAATGGTGTGATAGTGTATTAGTGGTGGATAAGCACAACAATTTCAGTGGTGCCGGCTGAGTTTAAATTGTCTTCGTTTGCTTACTATAGAATTTTAACGCGAATCAGAGAAAGGCTCTCTAGTCAACTATGCTATTAAGTCGTCATGTTAAGCATATTAATACCTCATCATCAAACCTTTATACAGATGTTAACCCATCTCAATTGTTCTTGATATCGCTTGACTCGATCCATGAAGCCTATATTCTAAAAATGTATTAATATTTTTTTAATAATAAACCCACCATTTAATGACCATTCACTCTTATATTCGTACTTCACACGATTAATTCAATAATTTAGTATTTATGTACTGTTCCTTATTTTGCAGGGAGAAATTAAAATATGTATATGTCGAAGCCAACTAGCTTAATTAGCCGTTCAATCAACAGCCTAGCCTCTTTACTAAACAGCGCCGTTCAACTAGCGGCCTGTATATTAAACCATTTAATCAAACAGCTAGGCAAATGAATTGGTCGATGACGTTTAATTACTTGCCTAGCCTATTCATTTCAATTCAGTTCCACTTTCTGTCACCTAGCGCCGAACCTCTCCAAACTGTCAAAGTTTAATGAAAAATCGTACAAGCTGTCCCAGCCAACTATCTTAATTAGCAATTCAATTAACAGCTTAGCCTTTTTATGTTTAACTAGGGGCCTGAATGATATTTAGCCGCTGTGTCTAATACAACAGTGTAACTATCTTCTAATATCCGCGACAGTTGGTTGGGGTGCGACTGCAAAAGCAAAGTCGTGTATATTTCTATAACATAAGAGCGCATAGTGCATAATTAGGCATGAAATGTTGTATTAGACGCATCGGCTGGAACACATGGGCTGAATATCACCAGGCCGCTAGTTGAACGGCGCTGTTTCGCCCTAGCGTACGAATGGCCTAAGCATTAGCCGGTCAGTTTATTAAATGTTGTTAACAAACGCTACAGCTGAATATCATTCAGGCCGCTAGTTAAACGTGGCCTTAAACCCAATTTCCAATTCAAGGAACTTACCCAGACGAACTCGCAGTAAAGAGACTACCACCTAATTATTTACCAATACCATTTATTTGGCAGCGAACCAAGACATTACAGTCTTCAATTTGATAGATGAGTGGAGCTCACGTATCTGTTCTTAATGAGCAATAATCATTAACAGTTGGCAGCTACGTATTCATTAGCTGTTGGCAGCCACGATGAAGTATTTATCAGCTGATGAATAATAATCAATGAATGTGAAAATCTCATAATACTCATAAATTACCATATATTAAGCAGGCCCTAGCTGTTAATGATAGCAAAACATGCGTTACATAAATGATCATGACATTTTTTCATGCTATATCATCAATAATTTTTCGTATGCCAGGACAGCCTGCATGAGAGTAAAGTGGTATTTGTTACTAGGTTGAGATATTGTGGAGTTATTGTTTATTAAGTGACAATGCAGCAAAAACAAAATTTTATTTAAAGAAATATTTCTCTTGTTTTTTGTATATTTATGTTTTTCTTTTGGTGTCTAACTAGACTGTTGCATAACATGGCAATCCGAACACGATCATGCACGATCATATGTATTAGTCGATACTTTAGAGACTTAAAACGATATGAATGTCAATCATCTCGCCAGCTCGTAATTTGCGTAAGTACCTAGGTAATATAATGATGTCATTCGCATCAATCAATACAATTAGTAAACGCTCATGCGTGCATGGCAGTTAACAGCACGCAAAGCATATCATTCCGCATTACCGTCTAGGGCCCTCCTAAATAACAACATAAATATGGAGTATTTTCATACTGCGTATTATTATTGAAAATAAAATGAATTTTAAGCAACCAATTAAAATAGACTGTTTTAAGCACTTAATTTTTTTGTGATTTGTCTTAAGTCGTTTATCCCCTGATCTCTACTAAAAGTTTCGGCGGCGACCTTGGCGGTAGAAATAGAGATGATGTAATTTCCCAAAGGTAAACCTATCATAATAAAAGAAGATTTTATTCATCTCAAATGAATATGTACATTCCGCCTACTTACAATTTAAATTAGGTACTTTTTATTTTATATTCTCATCCAATAATATCGACAGCAATATATGTTACTTAGGAAAATAATACAATAAAAGCAGATGAAATAAAATTGAGAAGAGATGTTGCATCTTTTTGCGTATTTTATTGCCATCCATGCCATCTGGATGACTGGCGGTCCGCCACTTCCTTGTGGAATTGACTACCACCACAGATTTTTCCGGACCGATACGTCTTAGAGACTTTCAAGAAAAGAGCCTACTCCTTTTTAATAGGCCGACATCGGATCTGCAATTCCTCTGATGTTGCAATTGGTTATGTGCGGCAGTAATCACTAACCATCAGATTTAGATTTAAAATAATCAAAGTTTGTTTTTTATTTTTGTGCCAGCTAAATATATGTTTATTATGCTAAAGGGTCCTGACGGACGTACGTTGGAGTTGGAGACAATGCAAGGCACCGCGACAAGATACTGCAGCATATGCCAGTGTAACAAGTCCACCACCACCAACCCCAAGTAGACGTTGTGGCGCGTCCGTTAAATTGGCCACTTGAAGAAAATTGAAGAAAAGAAAATGAAGCGATAGAAAATTTCATGAAACGCAACTATTTCATAAAATATTAAACTATCTTCTATACAAAGGAACACGTAGACATCACACATGTAGATTGTACATCACGATGTGCTGATGTAGACTTTACAATATTATGTGCTGATGTAGACTTTACATCATGATATGCTGATGAAGAATATACATCTTGATGTGCTGGTAAAGACGCTACATCACGATGAGCTAATGTACCCTGTATCAAAATGTACTGAAGTAGACTCTACATCATTATGTGCTATTGAAGACTACATCTTGATGTTCTTGTGTAGACTCTACATCTTTATGTGCTGGTGTGATTTTATGTCACGGTGCGCTTATGTACTTTACATCACAGTGTACTGATATAGACTCTACATCATGATGTACTGATGTAGACTCTACATCATGATGTGCTCGTTTAGACTCTACATCTTGATGGCTGATGAGATAAAGTGCATTATAATAGACTCTTCATTACGATGTGCCTTGGCCCAATCAAAGAAATGAAATCGTTTGTCGATGTGGCCAAACATAAACGGTCATATAGTAAAATAGTAACATTATCCACCGCTAGGGCCGCTGATAGCACATTTTTTAACATATTTTTATATTAATTAGTAACATTATGTGGTAAAAGTCACGCTCTACTGTCAATATTACTAAAGTAGTGCTTTCGTGTTTATTATATATATATATATATATATATATATATATATATATATATATATATATATATATATATATATATATACGGCTTGACTCACTGGCACTGCGAAGAGATGTGGCATCTCTTGCGTATTTTATCGCATTTACCACGGGGGAGTGCTCTGAGGAATTGTTCTGCCTAATTCCAGTCGCACAATTTCACCATCGCATATCGTGATAAAACTCGCGATACCATCCATACGATCTCGATGACTAGCTCTTCGCACAACTTCCTCGTGGAATCGACTACCACCAGAGATTTTTCCGGACCGATACGACTTAGGGACCTTCAGGGAAGAAAAGAGTCTTCTCCTTTTTAAAAGGCCGATAACACATCTACATTTCCCCTGCTGTAGCAGTTGTTCATGGGCGACGGTAATCACTTACCATCAAGTGAGCCTTTATGCTCGTTTGCACCCTCTCCTACAAAAGAATGATATGACGAAACGTGACTGGGCCGGTACTAATTGGCTGTATCGACACGTCATGAAATCATCAACTCTACGATCGGACCATAGATATAGATAAGCACGTCACTAGTCTACTACTAATCGTTTACCATCCCCTGATACCTACTGCAACAAGCTCTCCGAGACACCTGGAACCATTGACTTCTTTCATACATTAGTTTATCTAATATGAACTTACACCGCTAATTAAGTGGGCTTAAAATTATAGCCCATTAATTTCGTGTTTTGATAACACTAATAGAGGCATATTCCAATCGCAGACCACCACGTTTTTATTTTAAGCTGAAATCAGTTTTCGATGAAATTTTAAATATAGCAGTAATGGATGACAATGTATTGTATTGTTGAATATATAAACACTTTCTTGCCGTTTAAAGTCTTGAATTTTTTAAACATACTCGTAGCTCAAAACTGTGATACGTGGTAACAAAGCCTTTCTTTTGTTTACTATATGATTGAATGATTCTCCTTTCTCAAGGAACGTAAAGAAAACAGGGAATCACATTTAACTTGATTGTATCGTTTCCTCAGCTACTAGCTAGTCAGTAATTAGCACAGAACAATACTGTGGTGTTATGTGTGTCGCTATACATGCAACAGTTTTAAAGATTACTTCTTTAAAATTGTTGATCTTTATAACTCAACCTCAATTGCAATCATCTGAACAAAGCGGGGCAAAGTCCTACTGCAGTACAATCTAACTACAAAATTTACTGTAAAATATCGATAGCGTGTTCAATATAGCCATGTGCATAAAACCACAATTATGATACATAAAACCACCATAACGTCTCAAATAGTACAAGGTCTTAATTATAGGAACTGCTAACGCATTTAAGGTTTGATGTGACGTCAAAATCCATCAGTTGTAAAACTTAGTACAATCCATAAAGGAAATATTCTTAGTACTTACTAAATCTTATTTTCTAAAAGGTTGGGCATAAAAATTAGGTACCTCGAAAATTAATTTCATCAAGCCAGTCTCAAATTGTCGTAGTTCTTAAATTTTGAATCGATTGCTAAATCGTAACCAACTAAATAACTAATAACGGAGCCGTGGTAGCTCAGATGGTTAGCGCTCGCTGTAAATTTCACAGTACGCAAGCAACCCGGGTTCGATGCCCGCCGGCACCAATGACATTGTTATTTGCAATTTTAAGTGCTGATTTACCAAGTGTTCGGCAATGAAGGAAAACATCGTGGGAAAACCTGCATATCCGATAAATAAGAATAAAAAGATTATTTCGAAGACATATGAAGTTCGCCAACACGCATTGGGGCAGCACGGCGAACACCCAGTACTAAAACCCTCTCAGAAATAAGGGGAGGCCTGTGCCCAGCAGTGGGACGTATATAGGCTGTAAGTTTAACCTTTTTTTAACTTTAAATAAATAACAATTATGACAATTTGTAAATTTCTAAGCGTTTAGTTCATGTTCAAATTTTATAACAACACTTTTTCCTATCACATAGTAGAATCATGTTCAAGGTTTATCATATTCCAAATATTCCAAATCTACGCGGTTTTATTGTTATCAGCCACTAACAAAATTAGGAATTTTCTTCTAACAGCATATTACAGTAGCCTAGCAAGCGTACTCGTAGTTGTCGGCCGAGTCGGGGAACCATGAATATTTATATACGACATTACGATGCTGCTATATCGTTGTGGGACCAACCCAACAAACAACATAGCTCTTTCTCGTAAAACCAATCCTTTTTTGCTTTTGTTACACATATAAAAATATGTCGTACTTTTGAAATATGTCGAATAGTTACGATTTCATAGATGTCGCACAAGAGAAATTTATTTTAGCATTTATATTATTATAGGAGGCATTTATGGTATTACATAAACACAAATAAACATCTAGATCCGGAACAATATTTTCATAGAATGAGAGTAACAAATGAGCTCAAAGTCCGCCTGATGGTATGTAGATGTTAAGACCTTAGACACAGACCTACATCTACCCGCGATTAAAAATTAAAATGCCTGTTACCAACAAAAAGATCTCCAGTTCTCATCCAGTTCTCTGCACTCACCACAAGAAACAGAGCAGTTAAAAGCTGCTCTTCACGCTGGCATTCTGTGAATTATTTGTACGGCAATACAAATAATAGTTCCGCCCTGGATTTGGACCCGCAAGTAAATGATTAATGCCACGAATATGTCAAGAGCGCATTCCAAAAAACGGTAATAAAAACGGTAATACGATAGTGTCGCGTACTTCTTACCGACTCACATTGACATGCTTTATTTGGTCTTTTTTTTTAAATAAATACTGCTATTGCTATTCACATTACTAATATTCCCCGTAACCAGTCCTGGTAAGCTTTAAATGCTTGAGTTAGGAGTGGTCCACGACAGTAGTCAAATGGCGGTATCGAACACACGACCAACCCTACCATTAAGCTACGTAGTTTCAAAGACTCTATACTAATAAATTGCACGATTCTATCATAATTTATCTATTAAATAACCTGACTTAATGTAAAAGATAAACAACTGAACTACTTTTATTCGCAAAACTGTAATTTTTACTTTGTTTATGTTGTATTTTATCCTATTAATAAATTTTAACGTAAGATTGAAAAATCGGTCCTGGATTGAATTGCAAATCGTCATTACATGACAGATTAATGGCATCTTCATAATCATCATCATCGTCATCATCATTACAGCCCTTCACCAGTCCACTGCTGAACATAGGCTTCCCCCAAGGAATGCCACAAAGCACGGTCCTGAGCCACCTGCATCCATCGACTTCCTGCATGTCTTACCAAGTCGTCACTACATTTGGGGAGGATAGATAGCTTAATGGCACACGAGAAGAAAACTTGTGACCAAATGAGACAATTCCTTTTTGTATGCAGAATGGATCCACCAAAATTGTGGCGTAACTTAATAAAATGCATGTTGATTTATACAATCTATAGATTACAATAATATTAGTAACAATAACTTTACCGCATCTAACGAGAATGCTGAGATATTAACAATTAAAGTATGAACATTCCAATAACCTAAAAACAAACTCAAAGCGATTGTCAAGTAGTTCCCACCGGTATTATAAGTTATAATAGTGTAATGTTTATTCAGAGATTATGGGAACTTCAACATTGATGGAAAACTTTTTAGTAGTTCCAGAAAACCATTGCGCACAGACGAAGAAACGTGGTGTGGAAACTATTTTTTACATGTACGAGTATTGATTCTTTAGTGACTATTTTTTTTTTATTAATACTCATTTAGTATTTAATCATATTATTTCTGGATTCCAGTTAGATTTTCATGCAATCTTTATGCCGTTTACTATAATAAATTGTTTTCTTTTTTATGTGTAATACCTAGAAAAAGAAAATAACTTATATTAATAGCATTAAGTTACGTAAAAATTTCTAATGGGCCCAAAAACGAATGTCTTCTTTCTGTGTTACTAAATTGCAGTTTAAGAAAGCTTAATATCATATAGTAGTGTATAATTTATTATATATTATGTGCCCATATGTCGTTAGGCTGAATAAGCATAATCCTATATCATCATTTTACAAACTAGACTTATTTCATATTAAATTTGGTGTACCGAAAGCGCCTCCATTTGAACTTTTATACGCTGACTGCTCCATTCTGGCAACATTTCAAACGATCATTGGATATGTCGTTGGTTTTTTAACTCGTTAAAAAAATTTTGAGCAAATATCAGAAAGTAGCTCGGAAATAGATTTTTTTTTTCGAATTTCATCACGATAAAATAAATTAATGACGGTAGACTGTTTCGTGAATTTTAATTTAACCCTCTGTATCATTACATTTCCTTCGTGAAAATTAGGTCAAAGAAATGAATGAATGTATTTTACAAGCTGGGCATTTTCATGATTACTTAATTCGAGTTATTTAAGCAGAAATAAGGCTTGCCACTAAAACTGTATTAAGTATAATGACCTCGTTAAACACGAAAAACTGTTTCGGTCGGAGAAAAAACTGTTTTCAAACTTAACTAGTATATCAAATTATAAAAAAGAAAATAATTATTAGCAAATATTTACTACTAAATATTTTTTTTTTTATTTCCACTTCTTTAAAACATATTAATCTTTGAATACAACACTGTTGGTAAATATTTTCAAATGTTGATAATAAATAAATAACATCCTATATAATAAGTAAATACACAAAAAGAAACTGTAATTTTTATTTAACAAAATATATATAGGAATTAGGATTTTCTTATGTATCGCGGAGGCGTTTTACAAACACAAATTGCACATAAAAAAAACCAGACTCGAAGCAACTATTTATAGGCTCACGTCACTAACATCACCTGTTTCTATTACTTTAGTTACGATCGCACTTTTTAGCTGGCGGAGTAACTATTTCGAAAATCGAGTGTCAAAGGTTCGAGCCCATTAGCAGCCAGTTTAGATATTTATTTTGTTTCTTAGCATATTTTCAGTTTTTATAATTCAAATAATAAATAACTATAGAAAAAAGGGGGAATACAATTGTCCGCGTTTGTACTTTACTTGTAATATGATTATGCGTTAACAAAAACAACATATTAATTTGCTGTTTTACGATATAATCTTTGTGTAGTTAACTAAAACCATCATAAGAATGGACATACATGTAGTTCTAATTGAATTAGTTTTAAAAGTGACTTCATCAACAAAATTCGAAGTATTTACTTCAAGCTTGTTAGTCATCGTTATGATGACTGGCGACATGCCAGTATCGTCCGAGCGATACCGTCTGCTAACATTATATTGACGAATGCAATGAAATTAGCCTAAATCTCATCCGACTATCGGTAATACTTGTTCTTGTAAAATACATTTTGATGTAACTGTTACTCGTATCGGAAGACGAATATCTCATGCAAACATTGCTCTTATCTCATCTTATATCTACTACACGAATTCACTAAGCGCTTTATCTAATCTGTGATGTTTTGTATTTCAGGCACTCGGTGGACTCGGTCGCGTCGTATTCTAGTCAGAATCACGTAGACCGTATAAGGACTCAGAATTTCTCAGCGGCTTCCTGTCAAGACGACGGAGACTTTGGGTCGATTAAGACCAGTTTGTTCAGACGTTCGACGTCCAACTTGGACTTTCAGACCAAGCGACCTGAAAGCGTCACGTCTAACACAAGCTCAACAAGAAGCCGGCTTCGAGAACTTGTCGAAAGGAAATCGAGTGCAGACGAGCACAAGCCCGCTGAAAACGCCGTCGGTGAAATACAATACTTTGAGAACCCTACCGAAACATTAGAGTGTGACAATCCAAGGAACTCGCTTGACTCAAGGAAAAGTCTAGAAGACATACGTCCCAAAAAAAGAAAGTTAGTAAAAAACAAAGAAAAACCTAAAGACTTTTTCGAAAATAAAAACAAAAAACACGAAAAATTTCAGAGTAAATTGGCAGAATATTATAAACTTCCAGTGCACCTGCCTCAAGACGAGTTTTATCAACATTTAACTAAGTCAAGAGCAGCCGAAGAACTACTGCAGAAACGATTTTCTAATTCAGATACAGAATTCAGTGGGAGTTACGGCAGATTGTGCAAGCACGAACACGTTGAAGGTTCTAATCTCAGGCGTAGTCGAAGCTTGGCCGTTATAAGAGAGGAGACTTTTACGGATCTCCAAATACAAAATCACGCTAAAAGCAAGAGATCGCAGTTGATTCCCCGCGCTCGCTTGTTTGATAAACCTTGCTTTAAAGACAGGTAATGAAATATTTGTGTTTCTTTTAAAATTTTAAACATCTTTTTCAATCGTCATATAATTTATCCATTAAATAAATTATGAATATAACTTTACTGAATATATTAAGTGTAAGAACTAAACTATTTTATTCATACAACTGTAATTTTCAATTTGTTCATATTCATGTACCATTTTACGCAATTATTTTTTTAACTTAGGATTGATAAATCGACCCTTATACTCCTATTTAACTTTAAATAAGATAAACAAAAGCATAATGATCGATATTACAGATGTACGAATATAAACTTAAAATTTAAAAATAATCTAAAGTTAACCCTTGAAAATAGCTTATCTTATCGTAAATAATACATGAATCCAAATCTCGAAGAACATACGAGACTTCAATTTATATAATATTTTATAATATTTATAAAATAGAAAATGACGTAAATAAAATTACAATATAAGAATTATTATAGTTAATACAAGCATAAGAATCAAATGTAAATTCTGCATCACATAATAAACCGAAAACTTAACTTTTGAATAAGCAACTCTCAAATATCTAGGGTACATAAGCTTTGCCATTCGTTGACATAGCATTATGGACTGTTCATGCCATGGCTCGATTTAACTTACCAAAACAAATATCTGCTTGACAAAAGTAAAAAAAAATAAGTGGGTTTAGCAATGTGGTGAAATTTTCTAGGTGGCAGAAAGAGTTCACTACTGTCTGGGTAGGTACCAACCTCTCACCTGTATCTGCCGCCAAACAGCAGTGCTTGCACTGCTCCGGTCCGAAGGATATATATACAGTATAATTACAGGCTGGAAAGCATTTCTCAAGGTGACAACACATCGATAGCCTTTTATAATTAAAGGTATTTGCAGGTGTCCATGGGCTGCAGTTGCCACCAACAGGTAGACTGTCACTTCAGTTTTATGAAAAAAGTGATAGAGCCATTCTGCAGCTATATTATGGTTGCAGCACGAATTGGTCGGCTTGACCGGGGTAGGGCCACACTCTCACAGAATTTAGAATACCAGCACGAAACATCAGCCCAATATTGCTGTGTTCTAATGGTGTGTGTCTACCAAGACTTTACCCAGAGATCCTTTTTACTAGTTAAAAGACATTCCTTCTTAGTCCTCAGGGGTGAGAAAGCATCTACATTTTGATTCATAATCGAGTATAGATGGAAATGTCATATGGGCCACGGCATCCATTTACCATCAGGTGGGCTGTGTGCTCACTTATCGCCCTAATTCTGCAAAAAAAGATTATAAAAATAATGGTGTGAAAAAATTGTTATATCAAGTCCACGTTCCATTTTTTATCATACATTGTCTTACTATAGAACAAAAAGAACGAAACGACAGAAAACGATACATCCCTATTTATTTAAAACAATATTTAAATATAGATTAACTTACATCTCTTACCTTACCATTAACATTCAATAATCTGTACATAATATTTAAAGCATTATAAAATATTTCTTTTGTGTTTACAGGTTACCAAGCCGTGCAAAATATCAAACAAAAGAAGAAGTTTTAGAAGGCATATACATAGACAGCACTGCTTCTTGTTTTGGTGACATAAACAGATCTAAGGTGGATGATATTCAAGACGATATTACCACAAAAGGATCCGAAAAGGAAGACACTGTATCACAAAACGGGAGTCACCAATCACGTTCTATATGTGGTAGTTGGCCCAATTTAAACGAAGAATCAAAACATACAAATCTCTCTGAAGATAGTATCGACTATTCACGTAATCAGAGTGAAATAGATAGCTTAGATTCAAATTACGTACGAAAACATTATAATTTTGAATCGCAATTAAAAAATTGCAAAGATAATCCAGAGATAGAAAACTCAATTGCATCACCTAATATTAACAACAAGTTGTACATTACTTCCAACGACTTCGATTGTGACAATAAAGAAGAAGCTAGATCAAAGAATAATTCTCCATCTTACATTAATGAAAACATCTCAATAATAGAGCATGTTCAAAGTAGAGATCTAAAGGAGACATTTCATAAAGAAGATATTGATACATTCGACGCAGTTTCAGATAAGAGTAAGAATAGCGCAGAACAAGAAAATAACGAACAGGGGGTTATAAGAAATACAAGTGCATGTAGGGAAGAAGTTGAAACACAATCTGTAATCTCAGAGAATGACGGGACTATTTCGAGTCCTCCAGATAGCATTACATCTTATATATCGATATCTATAGCTTCTTCTTCGGACAAATCTCATAAACTAGAACATCTAGCTAATTCACTAGCTGAAAAGATAGATCAATACTGCGACACCAATTTTAAGGAAAATATATCAGTAAACTTAAATAATAAAGATAATCAATCAAACCCAGATATTGATCCCACATACACAAAAATACAGAAGAAAACATTTGCTGATATAAAAAACGATTCAAATAAGCATAAAGAAGATAAAAACAACGAAATATATATTACAAATACATACATACAACACGGTGATTACAGTCACACCCACAATTGTACGTCTGCTAAGAATATAACAACTGAACCTTTTGTTACAACATTAATTGAAAATCAATACTATTCATTACCTGATATCAATATAAGCAAGTGCTTAAGAAAATCGGAGCGCATTGATGCTCAGTTGAGAGAAGAAGACAAAGAAGATATACCTCATGAAAATTCTTACGAAATAACACAAAACAATTTTAGGGAAATTTTATCAACAAAGTGTCGCGAACATTACGGCCAATCAAATAAATCCTATGATAACAAGCACAAAGAAGGCACAGAGGCCAGTATTCAAGAATATGCAGAGCCACTGATAATACACAATTTTGCGAAACTTGAAGATGATTTAAAGTCTATAATAACAATTGAAAGCTCGAACATCGATGATCAGGAAGAAAATTTATATAACTCAGATGTACATCACCAAAACGAAAGAGAAATAAACGAAATAGAAGGAACAATACGTAACAATAAAATAATAACCAAAGCTGAAAGTTTAAAGTTGACAAATTCATCATCAAAACCGGATATAATAATATCAAAACCATTTTCAAATGATAACATAAACACTGCTGTATTAGAAAAGAAAGCAAAATCTAACGTAAAAAAACATTATTCACTACGTCAACGCGCTCCTACCAATGATGATATTCGCATACCAAGTCCAAATGCTCTAGAAGAAACATTACATAAATGTGCTGAAACGCAAAAAACAAATCTTAAGCTTACCGAAGAACTTAAAACTAATTCTCTTTTATCACGTGTACAGTCGTTTAAAACCTCTGCGGAATCTAATGTTACCATAGTTCCCCTAAGTGGACATCAAACAATTGTAATAGATCCCCCCGTAACACAAAATTTAGTAGATGCTACGAATCTAAACACCACAGCGCAAGCAGATTCTCATTTACATAAGTCCGATTTTCAGAGTACTGTGCATAAAACTGATACAATTGCGATTTCGCAACAACTTGACGAATACAAGGCGAAACAATCCGAGGCTAATTCTTTCGAATCCGTTAAAACTTCCAGTGTATACACTCCAAGAGATCCGTTTATAACTATAAAATTAAATAAGATCGTTAGAAAAACTATAACACAACTTTCCGACGAAACAGCTGACAAAGCCGTTTACGAGGAACTAAAAATAGATAAACCACCATCAAAATTGATTATTAAAGATAAAAGTAGTTTTAATACGTTTACGTTAACATCAACGAAAACAGACAATATGACTCGACCTCAAGTGTTACAAGTCGTAGATTCAAAAAATAAACACAAAGAAGTTTGTAATAACTTAACAGAAAAAATCGATTTCGAAAAATCTAATAATATCGCTAACAAAATTATTAACAACGCAAAACAAGTAAGAAATGAAATTCAAGAAGGTAAAAATGAATGCACTGCCAAGGAAAAATTAAATGATGCAATAAAGACAGACATTGAATACCAAGAAAAAATTAATTCCGTAAAAACCTATTGGTCTAAGTTAATTGAGAAAACTCCAGAACCCTATAAAAAGCAAGAACTAATAGAAAATGAAGAAAGTTTACCAGAAAAGAAAATTTTGGGCAAAGGACACATACAAGAAACAAAAACTGATGACACAAAGGAAGTCACAGAGTTTTCTGTAGGTAGTATTATCAAATCGTTAGAAAACGTGAAAATAGTAGATAGTATACGAAAAATAAGTCAAGCTAAATTACAATTGTGGAAAGAAGAGTCAGAAAAAGTAAAAAGTGATTCAGAAATAGAGGAGACAACCGTGGAAAAAATTGTAAAAGAAAGCGAAGGAACTATTTACGATAAACCTAAAATAGGAAAAAATACAAAAAAATTTGAAGAAACCTTAAGTAGAGACACACCAGAAATAGAGATTGTAGAATTAAGTAGCGAAGGTAATCAGAATCAAAAAACACAAGCAACGATAATAAAAGCAAAAGGTTATGAAAAAGGTTGTGACGAATTTGATCACGTTAGATATAAAGTAATGAAATCTGAATTATTTAAAAACAGTATGATTGCTAATTACAGAAAAGAGGCACAATTCGATGGATTGCTACAGTATTTGCAAGACTATAGCTTCCAGGAACTATTGGTTAATAATAACATTGTGATTATAGAGCCAGTCAGAACTAAAGTTGAACCCATACCAAGAAAGAATAATAATCCCGATTCTTGTAAAATCTCACCCACGCTTTTGAAGAAAAATGAAAATAATTTTGGACAGGTAGATAAATCTAAAAATGCTATAAAACGACATTTCTTTTATCATCCAATCAGAGTTAATAAAGAAATCATAGAAGAAGAACTTCCTAATCCTGATACTGTAAAAAAAGTACGTAACCTATTCGAGGATACTTTAAAAATGAAAAGTCCTATGAATCAAGATCCGCCACTGGTAGATGAAACTACACGTTTGCCAAGGCGAGCAACTTCTTACAGAAATTTAAGTGAAGAGTCAAAAACAAATAAAGTATATGGGAGGAAAAAGATCACACGGCAATTGACTATTGAAACAAATTTTGGAAATAAAAAATGGGATAACGCCAGTCTTTCAAGTGGAGTGTCTAGTGGCGATCTAAGTTCTAATAACGAATATGAAACTGACAGACTCAGCCCTTACTCTAGTAAAAACTTTAAAGATAACGTTTACAGTTCGAGTGATGAATATCTCTGCGATTCAATGAGTCAAGACTTTTGTTGCGAAAGTCAGTATGTTAGTCCTGACATCTTAAAGAAAATAAGAGAATGCGGAACTTCTATCACTTATTATGGGGGAAAAGTATTAAATTCTAAAACAGGCTCATCTGCAAGTCCGATGACAAAAGCAATAATGGATGAAATAAAAAATTTACAAAAAAATTGCAGCAGAGATTGTTACTCTTGCCAAACTAAATGCAGGGGAGACAAGTGTTCATGTCTTGTGGCTGATAAACATACACAAATGCTTATAGATAAGCAAAACTCAAATACCACAGAAATGTCAAGTCAAAGCCAAGAAAAAAATAATCGTGCAGATGGATTTCCAGGATTCAAATTTAAACTCGTTAAATCTAATAGTTGCAGTAGCAGACTAGAATTAACAGGAACAGATGGAAACAAAAATCAGCGATTTAAGTTTAGAAAACAAAAATCCACAGAAGATCCTCCATTAATTGATGATGACGAAAATTCCGTAAAAAAGAAAATTTGTCACTTAGAAAGTTATAATAAAGGTATTGTTAAAACACCATTTGAAAACAAAAACAATGAAAAGAATCCGAACCTTAAGATAAAATCAGATTTAACCAAAGTAAATGACGTAACAATAAAACATAATAACATTCAAGGAAACATAATTACTATAAGGGAAAAAGAAAATCTGAACTCAGAAAAAGAACAAGATTATGCAGAAAACTGTAAGAATTTAAATAGCAACGATTCACACAGTTTTGAAAAAAAGTTTTATTATTTAAACAAAAATCTAGACCAAAGCCAAGTCACAACAGGGAAGTTTGGAGAAATGGTATTCGAAGAATTTGAAGTTTTAGAATCATGTTACGATAGTTTAAATAGCAATAAGTCATTAAAATAACTTGTTTATATTTTAAGCTTTTGCTAAAATTAGTAATTGTTGTGATCTGTAATCAAAACGCTATTAAATTATTGCTTGTAAATTTAATAATCATATAAATATTTAGCTTAATCGTGTATCTTATTTTAGAAATAGGTACCCAATGATATACTAGATATTATAATTTTCTCGAACAACTTGATGTATCGTACTATGTAGTGTGGTGATGGTCTCTTTAGTGTTTGTAATAAATGATTCATGAAAATTTTATTGTTTGAACAAACCTTACCGTCAGATTTCAATTCAGGATCCAATTTCGTGGGTGGATTTTTCGATCCATGAGCACACACACTTGTAAAGATAGACCGTCTTGAAGGTCGCCACCGTCGACACCATGACTCCTTACGGAAGAAAAAAGAACAAATTTAACATACAAACTTCGATCCAAAATATAGTATAAAAATATAATAAAGCGGAAGTTTTATTTTTGATTATTTTTACTGTTTAAACGCTTATCTCTTGAACTACTTCCGATTTAAAAAAATGTGTGATAGTTTCATGAGGAATAGTATAGGCTATCTAGCATTAGGCTACATCTCTTAAATATTTATTTTTGTTTCCAAAAAAAAAACCACGATACCATATGCCTATTTCTTATAAATAAAGTCTCAATAAGGTATTTTGAAACAAAAACTATTGAATATTAAAAAGTGATTTTTGAGCGTTATTATACGGGTTGGCATATTATGAACAAAATAAATTTTATATCCTTATAAACAAAAGCTACCTTTTAAAACATGTTATAAGGAAGCATAGTTTAAGTGATAATGAAACATTCAAATAATTTAACGCCACCACCCATAACCCCATCCGCCGTTTAGCCGAGAGAAACCGGCAGTGAACGTTAGCAAGGTGACATGTCGCGCGGCCCAGTCGCTTGATATGACGCGGGTGAAACGGCGGAGCACAGCTAGTATAGTATAAATTGAGTCGAAATTTCAGAAACCCTTAAATTTCTTCGTATATTTTTTTTGTATCAAATTGAAGTAAAATCTCTTTGGGTGTACTGTTTGTACCTGACTGGTTTTAATATCAATACATATAGGACATAAAGAAAAATAAAAACCACTTTCCCGCTATTTTTCAAAAGCTGTGTCCTCACTGTGCCTTTTTTTGTTCATCAAGGGCATGCGTCACAGCTCCGTCAACAACACACGTGAGGTATGCCCTTGACGCATGCGCTATGACAGTAGAAAGCGTAGCGTCCGCTGTGATACTCATCTTTTAGCGTTGGGTGGATTTCTGTGCCACAAAGCGTTCAACAACAAGGTGGCGAACGAAGAAAAAAAAGGACACTTAAGTTTATCGAAGATTACGGAAGGTTTCCACAAATTTGGAATCCAGAGCAAAGATGGATTGCAAGTTTTGGTTATTAAATGTAATATGGACATCGATGGAGTTAAAAAATGGGAATCATATAACTTATCGGATCCAGTGCCACTCTTTTTCTTGATGACTTTTTGATGCTCTTTAAGAAAATATGAATGCAGATTTTTTTTTATATCTGAAAACTTTCACTTGGTATTTGTTCTGTGTAATTTCTTATGAGCAAGTAAGCCGCACATATTCCACCAAGTTAAACGTTCTCGTCCCACATGTTTCAACAAGCCGACAGAAACTCAAATGATATTGGCGTCACGTTCGTTGACGCATTCAATTATTGAATGCGCCAAACGAAAGTTGAATAGAAAGATGACGACGAAAGTTGAAGATGAAATGTTATAGTGTGGACGTACCTAATAGTATTTCTGTCCGCCAAAATGAGTGTATCCAACAAGAAATTCGATGCATTCTGAAGTTTTATTACAAAAAGGGGAAAATGCGACTCAAATCACGAAAAAAAATTATCATTTATGGACCTAATACAGTGTCAGTAAGAGTAGCACAAAGTTGGTTCAAGCATTTTCAGTCCAGGAATTTTGATTTCAAAGCTGCAACTCACTCTGGTCGCCCTCATCGATGCGAATTTTTTAAAAAGTGGAGCAAAATCGGCATATTAGTAGTTACGACATAGCTGAGGAATTGAGGATTGACCACAAAACAGTTTTGACACATTTGAAAAAGTCTGGCTATACAAAAATCTTGATATTTGGACACCACACGAGCTCACTAAAAGAAACCTAATGAATCGTGTACTCATTTACGATTCTCTATTGAACGTAATGAAACCGAACCATTTTTGAACAAATTGATCACTGGTGATGAAAAGCGGATCACCTACGACAAGAACGTGCGAAAAAGGTTAGGGTCAAAGGATAGTCAAGCTCTACAGACTATAGCGAAACCCGGAATAACACACAATAAGGTGATGCTGTGTATATAGTGGGGTTAGAAGGACATCGGTTATTATGAGCTTTTACCGCCGGGCAAAACCATCGATTCGGATCTCTACTGTAAACAACTAATGAGAGTCAAGCATTTATTTTGAGAAAAAATGGCCAGAATGGATCTACAGAAAAGGAGTGGTCCTTCATCATGATAACGCCAGACCACACATCTTTGACCACTCAGCAAATGTTGAGAAAGCTTGTTTGGGAAAAGTTAATGCATATGCCTCGGGTTTTCACCTGTTTCAGTCTCTTCAAATTTCTTCTTTCTTGACGAAAAATTCCAAGATTTCTATAGCAACGGGATTATGTCACTACGAGTACCTAAAATACGGCAACAAGTTGTCGAACAAAATGGCACATATATAATATAATTAAATGTAATTAATATTGAAAAACAAAGTCATGAATTTTTATATAAAATACGCAGAAATTTTTCCCGACCCTTTAAAACGATGCGATATAACGCACGAAAAAAATACCGTAATATTTTATAGATTCTAATGTAAGAAAATATAAGAAATAAAAATAAGCAGATTTCAAAGGTGACGCTACTTAAACTAGGTAATTTATATTAATTCGGTAACACAATAAAAGCCAGCCATTTTAATACCAGTTACTCTCACTCACTGGACAATACAGTATACACAAAATTTGTATAAAAGGGTTATTAATATATTAAGACATACATAAACGATAATAACCCTTAGGAATGAGGGGATCGCTACCAAGCCGTTTCTGAAACAGTTCGTATTGTACAATATATTACATAAATGTAAAGAGAAGAGCCGGTCTTCACTACCTGAGCATCCTGTAAGAGATAATTTTCCACTTTTTAAAGAGAATTTCCAGGGCCCCTGGAGCTACGGGCGCTCAGGGCGGGGGCCCCGAACGTATATCAATGTAACCCATGAGCAGGACGATGACTCGGAAGTGGTCTCGAGTATCATCATAGCACTGTGAGGGTGCTGGGGGCAGTAAGAACTACCCCCAGGACGTGCTTTGATAAAGCAAAGCGAGAGTGACCCTGGTTGCGTTCCGAATGGAGATCCCAGGACCCCGCATATACGCTGATGGTGACCACCATGGGGTTTTAACCAGTAGAATTGCGGCATAACCTTTCTGTTGCCCCCCGCACCCGAAGGTACCCATGAGGATTTACCCACGATAAAAAAATAACAGGACGACAAATAACTCAATGCCTCATTAAAGCGCAGAGCTAAGGACTTTCCATGTTTTCCGTGATACGGGTGTGAAACACCGTCAACTTCCTGACTCGGGCCTGCTGCTAAGAATTTCTTGACTAAAAACCCAATGAACAATTTTAGTTTGACCAGTTGCGGGTCCCGGGGCCGCACTATCAGCAGTTGTGCTTACGACCACAAGACCAACGATACATTCGTAAATTAAACCGGTTGGAACTTAATAATTACAAAATTATGTACAATATTCTTGGGGCAGTGTTGTTATTATTGAAATTATTATGGATAAAATCGCGCTATCGTCAGCGTGAATTATTCGATTTATCCAAAGAAGTTGTACGAGATACAAAAGTAAACACTGGAACGAAAATAAGTTAGTCCCTAAGTTAAAACGAGCGTGCCGCAAAGCCAAGGAGTTAAGTTCTTCCTGTGGAGTAATGGCCTCGAACAACACCTTCCCACCCACCTACGATAAGCTAATCCGTTCGTACAACCGCACACTGACTACAATCTTTAATGCTAATAGAAAATTGTGAAAATTAATTAAATCAACGATCAAACAAGTGAAGGCCTCTTGACTTAATGTTGATATAAAATATATCTCCATTTGATGCCAGATAGATGCCACTGCCTCCACTTGCCATCCGGAGGACTGTGTGCTTGTATATCACCTTTATTCTATTTAAAAAAACTTCGCTCATCAAATTTAACGAAACAAATACCTCAGATATGTGGTTACATCAGAGAAATAAGATTAAATACAAGAATGAGGTACCGCTGTTTTGCGAATAAATTGGCAAGAGGGTGGACCCAAAGCAAAAAACGAGTCCTAACTACCTCTATAATATTGGCGTCTAGTTTGGATCGCTATTGAATGGATGTTTTGTAATTTTAATTGCTATTTGATTATTATTGAGATTTAGTGAACATATTTGTATAAAATAAATATACAAAAACTAGAAAAAATTTGACATAATATGCGAGTGTAATCAATTTCTTTCAACGCCAACTGTGGATTGGTTTCTACTATGACTAATTGGTAGTGGATGAAATCATCTTAGATTTGCTTAAAGACAATAGCGATTTCGTGACAAAGTGTACGTTGACCGTATGTACCAAGTAATAATAAAAACAAATATAGACAGCCTTCTAGCATCATACACTATCGCATCCACAGAAATAGTAATATTACGATTTCTGTAATCGTATCATATTACGATTTTAAATATACATTACCTATATGTTTATGAATGAAAATTTCTTAATGATATGATGAATTATATTTCAAACTCTTTATATTATAAGTTATCGATAACGTTATACAACAGTCGTAATAGCAATACTACATACGTGATATAAATGTTTACGTGACTACTATTCCAATCTAAGACGTGGAATGAATCCTTTTCATGTAAGAAGTGCATAAAGATCAAGTCACACTATGGTGGAATGTAGCGATTTAATTTTTAGGGATCCAATGCCATACAAGCAATTTACATGTTCTTATTACCTTTTTTCTGTCATATTTATGCTATGACAAACACAGCGACAGCATCCTAATGGCAGGGCGCGGACCGCGAACTCAAAAGGTCGTGGGTTCGAATCCGCCATTCGACTACTAGCGTGAACCACTCGTAACACAAGCAGTTTAAGCTTACCACGAGTGGTTAAGGGGAATATTAGTAATGTTTAAACCATTGTTAATATTCTTTTTTTAAACACAATGATTCACATAAGCATAACTTTCTGAATTAGATAAAATTTTATGAGCATATTATTTCATGTTTCAATTCGGACCCAGAAATTTAAAAA